ATATATATATATTATAAAAATAATATTTAGCTATAAAACTATTGAATCTACCAAAAAAATCTAAAAATATAGATACTATGTTTAAGGGTTTGATTTTACTAAAAAAAATATATTTCCAGCACAAAAAATTAAATCCTAATTTTAAAAATTTTCGAATCACGAAAGTTAACCTATAATTTAAATGAATTAAAAGAAAACTAAATTGTACTAGAGTATTTTATTTGTCTATGGATTATTGCTACTGATAATATTTTTTATTCTACTGACATTTATATTAATTTTATTGTATTTAAAATGTATCTAACAAAACTCAAATAAACTATTAAGGCAAAAATATTAGTTTTAGTTAGTTAGGATTTTCTAGATATCACTGAGTTTTTGTTTTTTGAAGATTTGTCAAAAACTTATAAAATAGGGTTTAAAAATGTATAATGTTATTAAAAAGTCATTCGGGATAAGTCTTATTAGAATCTGTGTAGTTATGGTAAATGACATTCTATTTGATTTTTCAATTTCTATCATGGATAATTAATGACACGATGATAAATCTTTCACATATTAGAAACTAATTCAATTCATTTATCACATATCTCAGAATGGATCGTGGATAATCAAATAAATAAAATTAAGATGATAAAAACAATAAGAAATAAATTTAATAAAATATAAATCGAATTAAAAAAGACTCAAGTAAATAAAGATTCAACTCATATTTATTTAAATTAAAAATTGGTTTCTAAAATTATTATTCTCGCGTTCCCCAATACAACTATGATTCTATATATTATCCATAAAAATATAGATAAAGAAACTATTCACAATTTGTGTTCAATAAAAATACAATAACATTATTTTGAAACTTATAAATAATTATTTAAAGATATAAATTATAAATAAAAATAAAATATATTATATTTGATAAAAATTAATAATAAATGTTTTAAAATGTATATGTATTTTTAGTCTACGCGATGCGCGCGGGATATTTTCTAATACTAATTAATAGTAACCTCTCAATTTCAATACATGAAACAAACTCTTTTAAAAAATAACGAATATGAAATAATAATAATAATAATAATAATAATAATAATAATAATAATAATAATAATAATAATAATAATAATAACCGAATAATTATATATATTTATATCGGGAAAACTCAAAAAAAATATCTACATTTTACAAAATGTGTCAAAAAATACATCAATTTTTAATTTGATAAATACATACCAAATATTAAAATGTATCAAAAAATTAAATACCTCAACTTTTGAAATTGAAATCAACTTCCTACCCATGGATAACGTCGTTAAAAACTGAATATGAACTTATTTTCGAATAAAGATTGTTAAGTTGGGTTAAAATTTGTGTATAAAACAATTTCAAATAATTTGAGTAGAATTGTCGACGGTATAATTTGAGTAGAATTGAGATTTTTTTTTATAAGATTTCCATATTTATAAAAATGTATCACCTTTAGTTTTTTCACTATGGATCTCTCTCGCTCTCTTCACGGGATGATGAGAAGCTTTACAATCAATGGAACCAAAGTATACAAGATTTACTCGGATATTTTCATTTCATTAAACCATCGTACAGTTACTCGGGTTTTAATTCTTAACCCCGTCAAATATTTTCTTCAAGTGATTTTTTCTTTTGAAAAAATATTGCGGAACCTCCCTACAAAATGACATCCAAGTATAGTATCACGTTGCATGGCCAGCCACATGCACGTCGAGAAGGAAAAAAAACCCTAAAAAGCACGCGTTTAACGATCAAACGCGGCTTTACGCCGCCGCGAGCTTGGCCAAAACGCCGACGGCGATGGAGTTGATGTAAGTGCATGGCTCAGTATAGACAGAAGTCCACCGGAAATCTTGGAAGTTGTCTTGGCGGTCGGGACCTCCCAAGATTGCTCCGGTGAGCTCATTAGCGTTTGGTCGGTTCTTGTTGTACCACTTCATGAAGCTCAGCGGGCAGCTTAGTGGCGAATTCGCTTCAGCCATGGGAACCGATGCTCCTCTGTGGTGGGCTTGCTGAGGCGGGTTCGGCCCGAATCCCACCATGTACGATCTTCCTCTTGGATTGTTTCCGAGTATGTAATCAATCTGGATATAACAATTATATATATATAAAAAGATATTATAATCATGCGTGTTGTTGCATTGATCTTGATGGATTTGAAACATGCTCAGCATAATTAATTACTTTAATAGTTGTGATTTGATTGGGTTAATTCTTAATTATTTATATATATATATATATATATACCTGTTTCTTGGCGAAAGCCATGAGGTGAGTTGAATCGAACAGTTGGTTCTGGCAGGAAATCTTTTGGTTGTGTTTCTGAAGCAAATCGGCGTAGACTTGGAACAAAAACGCGGCGGCCGTGACGTACTGAGTGTTGGCCCCATCCCTCAAATGAATCATACCACCTTATTCAATTAATTAAAAAAAAAACACATGTAAATATAAATATATATAAGAACCAAATCAAAACTGTGTTATATTGTGTGTATTGCATTAATTAATTAATTGGGTTTAATTAGGGCAAAACCTGGGGTGGTGTAAACTTGGTGGAAAGGACTGCCGGGGAGATTGGAGCAGATGAAACTGTCGGCTTGTTGTTTGTATATGTCCAGACCTTTTATGCCTTCGAACATCATCTGCATGCATTCGTGTACATTAGCCCCAACATTATTATGATCATCATTAACATACGAAAATATTATATATATATATATATATATAAGATTATTTAGTTCAATATATTATCGATCGATGTGTTTATATAACTATGGAAACTATAGTTTTAACAATCCTACTTCCTCTCAACATATTGTAACCCTAATCCATAACACGATGTATCTGTTGGAATATTTGGCAAATATTCGTAAGAAATGTGATTTAAAATTGGATTTTGTAACTTTATATATTATTATGGAAAATGTGATGAACTAATATGAACATAATTTCGATATGATTTGATAAACACGTGTATATTTATGTTAAAACCCGCCAGTATCCAACTCCAATTATAGATCATATTAAGTCATGCATGTGCATATCATTAATTATAACATCCAATGTGTATAGGAAAAAGATCATGAATAATTAATGGTACCTTAACGATGAGAATTTGAGCGCCGGCGTATTTGAGGTCCCAACTAAACTCGGCGACATATCCACTGATGGCTTCAAACTTGATGTAGCTTAGGTACACTTGCTGTCTCGTTGCCTTGTATAGCCACGTCGCCGCCCACAACAACTCGTCCTTCACACATATATTTGTATATATATCGTCACAAAATTCTCACATTTATCATTCGATTTTTGTTTTCCATAATTAAGATCTCAATCCAAAATAAATAGATATGGACAATAAATCTTACATTATAGCCAGAGTTGGAGCAGTAGAAGGGGCACTCTCCATCATATGTGCCCTTGTGGCTCTTCGCAAACTTGAAAAGCTGAAATTCAATAAACTCATTATTCAGCGTCTAATAATTAGCTGTATATGCTTATATATATATATACGTACATATTCTCCATCACAAAACAAACATATATAAATATATATACGTGATTCATATATATACCAATTTGGCTTTGTTGAGGAGTCGGCGAGAGTACTTGTGGTCCACGTGGCGGAAGACGATGGAGGCGGCGGCCATAGCGGCGGCTGTCTCGGCCGCGATCTCAGTGCCGGGTTCTTTGTCGTCGATCTTCAAGACGGTCCTCGGCGTCTTCATGTTTTCCGGCCTTGCCCAACATTGATGGTCCATATTAGGGTCACCCACCTGAACGTAGAGGCGGTTTCTGCGGGAAGCACATTTGAGGAAATAATCAGTGCCCCAACGGATAGCAGAACGAGCATTCTCGAGTTCTCCGGTGGCACGGAGTTCCTTCTCGTAGAAAATGGTGGACCATGCCAACGTTGTCACCGTGAACGCCATCGGCAGTCCATATTTCACGTTATCCCCCGCATCATAGTACCCTCCTTCAAGATCCACCTATATATATACGCATTTCATCATTTTCATCAATGCTTTAATTAATTCTTGTATCCTAGTGTATATATATAATGAGAAAAACGTATATACATTAGCGAGTTTCCCGTCGTCGAGGGCGGAATCCCCTCTCCAAGGAACACGGTTGGTGGGGGGGAGCTTTCCGGATCTTTGAGCCTCCAAGAAAATGAGAGATTTGGTGAGAGCTTCTTTGTAGTTTATGGAGTTGGTAGCATTTACACCCATCAACCCTAACACGCCCATCCATGCCATCACCACCACAACTCTTCTTCTTGATGATGATGATGATGATATTCTCCCATTACCACTACCCATCTTTTTCACAAAACCCATCATTAAAAAAAGAAAGAAAAAAAACCCCACCAAATCTTCTTTGTTAATTAAGGACAAAAGTTTTTGAAGTCTATAATAGTTTTGTCGGCTTCTAAGTCTTATATAAAGGGTTTCTTTCTTTGTTTCAACGGAAAACGAAAAACAATTGCATGCTTTTCGTTTTTTTTTTGTTTGTTGTTTTTGCCTTCTTTTTATGGTTAGTAATTTATGATTAAAGGGGAATTTTATATTAGGAATCTTGCAAAAGGTTAAGTATAGATTTACTAAACTTGACGACGACCATAATAGGATTGTTGGTTTCGGGTTTTTTCTTTTAAAAAAATTTATTTAGATCATTTTGTTTGTTGCCCTTATGGCTTCAATTTCTACGGATACTATGAATTTAGTCTCTTGCCCGTACAATTTTTTTTTTCCAAATATTCTCTTTGTTTTTTTGTGTGCGAAATATTTTTAGAATATACGTAACCCGTACTGTTGAAAATATGTTAGTAAATTGCATTTTTATTGCAACAAATTTAGATGAATATTATTTTGTACCCCTGGAAAAACTATGTCTCGCCCATCAATGTGGTTGATTGTTAAATCGGTTCGCTTGTGTTAAATGGGTTCAAAGAAAAAAAAAGGTGGACACTCAAAATTTAATTATTTATTCTTCAAATTTATATTTCTCTATTATTTATTTTTAAAGTTTATATTTCTTATTTTAAATCATAGATTTAATTTTTGTAATACTAATAAGTTTCAATTGTCTAAATCTCTATAAATAACGCCTCTAAACCTTTTTAACCTCATTGTTTATATTTATGTTTCTCCGCTTTTTTTTATTGATTTTTTTTTCATGGGAAATATATCAAACTGAAGAGCGCAGAATGATGGCCAGAGGCCCAGAGTACAGATGCAGCAGGTCACCAATATTCACGCGCTTGGATCGCGCGTGAGGTCAAACCTCTGCTCCAGTACACGAGCAAAAAATCTGCGTCGTACGATATTTTCTCTGAGTATTTCCACAATTTTGCACTTTTGGAATCCGGAGTGGGAGAATTTCTTTCCATGGAATAAAAAAAAAGTTTTTGTTTAATAAATAAAATTCCCACGGGAAATCGATGAACAACCCACTTTATGCAGTAGCAAAGACACTGTACTTAGTCTGGGTATTTGAATCGACCGAGAGAGCATAGAATCTCCAGAAATTCCGTCCCTTTCACTGTTCTTTGGTTCGTTTCGGGCTCTCTTTCGTTATTTTAGATCGCGGGTTTGGGTTTTTCTGGGTTTGCGTCAAATAGATCATCATGCATTCCGCGGCGGAGACAGAGGAAAAGGAAGAACAACGAGGAGAAAGGGCTAATCTTCTCAAGAGAAAAATCTGTGAAATCGACGGTGATCAACCTCCCGATCGTCTAATGGACGGTCCTGATCCTCCCTCTGCCAAGAGAGTTTCCTCTTCTTCTACTCCTCTGATAATCAACCCCAGTGGGTCTGTTCGTCTTTCCCTCCTCTCCTGCTTGATTTTGGGTCTTATGATCTTTCTGGGTTTCCGATTTTTGTGCTTAGTTTTGACGCTAGTGCGTTAAAGCTGTCTTTTATTCTCTGGTTTTTGTTTCGTAGTTATGAGACGAAAGTGTACGAGGTTGCAAGGGAGAGGAACACGATCGCTGTTATGGAGACAGGAACAGGGAAGACAGTTGTAGCCATTATGCTGATCAGGGACATGTGCCTCACTGTCAAATCTTCTGACGATTTCAGATCCAGAAGACTTGTCATATTCTTGGCACCGAGCGTCAGTCTTGTGAAACAGGCAATTCTTTCATCCAAATTTAACATTGCTCATCTTATCATACCGTCACAGAATTCCAGTTCATTCTGTTCTCTGAATTCCGTTTCGCTTAGTCTATGGTTCTTCGTTATTGGGTATGAATTGTTGAATGGTTCCCGGTTTATTGCTTAAAAAATGAATCTTTCTTGGTGTTATATATATAGTTTGAAAATGAATTGACTAAGCTTTGACTAGTCTCTGGCTGAAGAGCCTCAACTGTGTAAGGCAGTTTTACTACCATCATGGAGCTCACTGGGTTTCGATTTTGATTCTTCATGGGTTTAGCATTGCCGTGATATCAAACTGTACTCAAACCTGGAGGTCGAGAATTACTATGGAGGCAGAGGAGTTGACAAATGGACGTTGGAGCATTGGGAAAAGGAAGTAAACGAGCACGATGTAAGTTCTGCATGTTCGATGTCTTTGCGTTAGTATTGAACTACCAGTTTATGTTCCGGTTTTTTTGAGCATTGTTTTCGCTGTTTCCTCCAACTAAGTCTCTCTTAGGTTTTACTGAGTAGGTCTATGCCAAAAAAGAAAAATCGGTTACTTCCTGTGAATGCGTGCATCAGAAGATATATCTGCATGTCGTTTGTGGATATTGAGATTTCACAAGAAACTAAATAGTTGTGTAGTATGCATTTCGATACTTCAATTTTCATTAGTTAATGGCTGTATATGACACTGGAAACCATCACCAGTCTGTTAAAGTGGTGGCTCTTTCACAGCACGCAGCTTAGCTGCATAGTATGTTACTGAATGTTTTGATGAAGCTTTACCAAAACATGGATGGTTTGTGTTATCACATTATTCCTTCTGTCTGTATTCACATCCGTCTTCTCTCTGTGGTTTTAGGTTTTTGTTATTTGACCGTGATCTACACTGTTACCATGTTCTTCTGGTTCAGGTTCTAGTTATGACTCCTCAGATATTTTCAGAGGCCCTTAGAAATTCATACCTGAAACTACATATGGTATGCCTTGTAGTTATAGATGAATGCCACCTTGCCACTGGGAATCATCCATATGCAAAAATAATGAAGGTCTGTAATCATATATGTGTAATGAGATGACCATTTGAATTTTTGTTTTATTCTTGTCTGTAGACAGATAACAAACTATAACGTTTCCCATTTTCACGAAGGAATTTTATCGCAAATCCACTGACAAACCGAAGATATTTGGATTGACTGCTTCTTCCGTCGATAGAAAAGGCATGAGATTCCCCCCCCCCCCCCCACCCACACCGC